CTAACCCTGAAGCGGTATTATGGAATAACTTAGAAATAATTTGAACAAAAGTAAAAGAAGATTAATATAAACATAAATTACAATATTCGGAATCTGACATGTAATGCACTTATTATGAAGAGCTAAGACTTTTTAGCTACAGCATACCTAATCATACTGAAATTTTGCTTTATGTAGGTCTCATTTAGAAAGAAATATCCTGGACTGAAACGAACAATACACCACAAACTGGTGCGATACAATGATTATTAAGGCGTCACCCAGAACCAGAGTTTTGTAGCCAGATAGAGTAACTAGGGTAGGGAAAGGCCACACGGATTTAAGATGTCTACTGAGTGCATTGAATACATGACAGAGAAGAAGAGAAATCGTATCAAATATCAGTTAGATTATTAGAGAAATTGCAAGACTGCTGATTTTAAAGAGTAGGAAAAATGACAACTATCCTGATCTTCTCAGCGTGGTTAACCAAGCCGCCGTGTTTAGGCCAGTGTAGTATAGTAAACAGAATACAAAAGATACCTTTAAAAAATGCAAGGGATTTACTAACAAGGCAGAATTAAAAACAAGCAATATGCCAGCCTAGCAAAACTAACTTATAGCTTAGTCTAAAAATGATAGATAAGCAGTCCATATTTTGCACGTTAGTAGGTCCGAATGTTAACTAAAAATGAAGAGTCTAAAGATATCTCACACATGAGGGCGTTGCCAATAAAAACTAAAGCAGAAAGATATAATGAACCTACTTTCGACCTCATCCTTCCCCAAAGAGACACTAGAATCGTGCGGCGAAACAGCACTAATTGTCCTGTCGTCGATAGTTGAACAAGACTCTTGATGATCGTCTTCCTCGTTGATTTCCATATCCAAAGAGGAATCAGTCGTGGATGTCTTACTACATGAACGATTCTTTTGATCGACAGCATTCGTCAAACTGTTTTGCGTGGACGCCGTAGGGAACGAGGAATGAGAATCCGCATAGATGGAAGATGATGAAATAGACGATGAAGAAGATGAAGATGAGAATGGGGAAGAAGAATTGGGATTTGCTACGGAAAGAGAGGATGCTGAATTGAGTACAGGTGCTGAATTGGAGGTTTGCAGGCCACGTACGGCTAAGACAACGTGTGTAGTACTAGCAGAATCGGGCGGACAAGTGGTAGTACCGTTAGAAGATTCAAGCAGTAAGTTATACAGTTGATTAGAAAGAGCGGGTTCATTATGTCGAGGCCTGGAAATATCCTGATCCATAACATTGTATTCTCGCCTAGGCCGGTGGAAATTAGAAGCTGGCTCCAAAGAGTCAGCAAGCTCTGATAAGATAGAGAGAGGCCCTGTTGGGTTTATTGAATCCGAGACGCCATTTCGAGAAGGAAGACCAGGCGGGCGTCCTCGACGGCGTTCAGGAGAGAGTGAGCCAAGTAAAGGTTGTGATGGCGGAGAACAAGGCGTGGTGGCTGCTGTGGTGGTAGGGGTCGACATTGGGGTCAGAGTAGTTGTGGTCGAGGAATGTGGGCTCTCTAGGTGGGCTGCGTTTGCAGTGAGAGGAGTTAAGCTCCCAGGACGTTGAGTGAGTCCTGGAGATTGATCAATAGGAGCTCGCTTCACAGGAGATAAAGATGATGAGGTCGAGCGGTGACTACTAATATCAGTGTTTTCGTGAGTTGGTCTTCGAGCTACTGGCCGACCGCGCGTGCGATGTACTGGCACAATACTGATATGGTCACCAGTGATAAACTTATTTAAAGGCTTTGCTATAAGCGTTTCAGGATAGTGATGTCCATTTTCGAGATGGAGACTATGGCGATCTTGTTTCTGCCGTTGAATACGGGATAGTTGATCATTAGATCGACGACGATGCCGATGCTTGTGACGATAATGATAATCCTCAGTGCGGCGATTGATGGAACCATGCTCAGAAGCACTATTTACAAGGTTATTTTGATTGCCAGAGGTTGCAGTTAACATGGTATCACTACCACCGCACTCACTACCGCTAACGTCATCAGGGAGTGAAAGACGTGGAGGTCGACCTTAAAAGCAGAGAATAAGTTTAATAAATCGATAGCAAAATTAAAAAAATCGATTTAAAGAGATAATGAAAAGAATTTATTTTACTATTTAAACTCTTTCTGATATATGAAATAAAAAAAACACTGAACACAAAGTTTTTAATCAATAGTTTAAAAATTAAAGTAGCATATTACTTATTCTA